CAAAGTCATTTCCAGATAAAATTGCCGAGATACAAAGAAAGAGTGAACAAATTCATGGACGATTTTAAAGCCGCCTTGCTTGGATCCGCGTAGTGCCCTTTACTATCGATTTAAAAGGAGGCTCTTTTCGTGACGATTTATTCAAAATGATATACATTTCCTTGATTGTAGGTTACAACAAAGAACTTGCGATAACTCGATAGCTCACTCGATTGTAGTCTATTTTAATGATTTCTTTTAATGGATGCTCTTATAAAGCTCTTATGTATTCATGTCTTATCGTGAAACACTAGATCAATCAATACGGTATAAAACGCATCTAGCTTTTTTCATCTATTTTTTTCCGAGATGGAGGCCCTACAGTCAGTAAAGGGCTTTGAATTAGCACTCCTTTAGCATCATTGTGATGATGGCTTCCAAAGACTTCTGCTCTGGCGCCCAACAAAAGTGGGACCAAACAGATGCTGAGTGTGAGATCCTCGTAGTGAAACTGTCCCTGCAAGAGGCGGTACGCAGACCATTCGCCACCAAACAATTTATTTCAATGTGGAAAATTCCTGCGTAACTAGCCTCGAAAGTAAACTAATTGGTGCACGTTGCATGAAGAGGATGCTTTTGATATATACGTCCCTCGATCAGGCAGATCGAAATCGTTCGATCTCGATACTGATAGTTGATAAGTGCAGGATCAAGCAAGATTTTAGAATAACGCCCAGCTGATATTATCGCAATCAATGAGGGCGGTGCCGGGAGGCGTGGAATGAGCACGTTCTCAGCCCCCTTTACTACCAATAGTGGCCGCTTTCAGGCAGAAAACAACCAGTGGTGATAACGCCGCGAGCAAGCTAATCCAACAACTGACATCATCCCGACTGACTCCAACGATATCAACTAATACTAATACTAATACTTTATTCTTTATCGCACAAACGATATCAACTCCAGCTAGGAAATTTCTGCTACTTTGACAGCAACGTCGCGCAGGTGAATGTCGGTGAATAAAAAAATAGTGGCAAAATTTCCAAAGAATCCACCAGGGCGGGGTCGTCGGGGAGAGGGCGAGCGGAGTCATGTCTACCATTACAGAGAGCCAGTCTACCTTGTGGTCGCTTCTTGAGTTTTCTTAGGTTCCTCCGCTCCAATCCAGGGACCACCTCGCCCCCTTGATTATGTAATCACCGTAAAAACCTGAATCCATTCTCAATGACGGACCATTGGCAAATCTCTCTATACTTGCAAACTCAAAGCTTTCGGCCTAGCTTATGTAGATACGATGCCATACACACCAATCATTCAACAGATTTTTTCATAATTTTCGTTTGCTAAAGGAAGGATCTTCAGCAACCAGCATTTTAACAAGTCCCTATCAATGGAAGCCATTTACATATATCTGATTATATACAAAATGTGAGCAGAACAGGAGAACAAATAACATCGATGAAAATAATCGAAAAGCAAAATTCAACGAGTTATGAAATTAAGTTAAAATATCAAGAAAACTGAACCACGAGATCAAGCATGGGATCATGACTGCTCTTCACGCATTTGCTGATTCACAGGCGTCAATCCAGTCTGAATAGACATCGATGGGTTCTGAGAGGTAGTTGATTGGCGTCTGAAAATCTTCAGAGCACACGCGGCACGATATGAATCCCACGTTTCGTTCTCGATCCCTAAGAAGCTAAATTACTTTGAAGAAAGCAGAAGAATAATAGACCGGATAATACTTACATTTTAACTTCGCATACTCTTTCGTGATTACAGAACGGACAATTGAATTGTGTTTGCAGTGGTTCCACTGCTTTAGCCTTTGGAGGCGGCTTTCTCTTTGACTTTCGCTTGCCCATCTTACAACTACCTGAAAGCAATTTCTTGGGAAATGAAAAACTAACCAGGATAGCTAAACATGGGCGGTCAAAAGATATGAAAAAAGGTCACTTCACTTCCTAGGCAAAATGGTTTCAATGTCTCCAGTAATGTGACAGCATTCGCCAAAGATACGGCAAAAATAAAAATCAAGCTCGACTAGGTTATAAAGGAGAAGTTCTGGAGGCGATCCTTGCTGTACAACCTGACACTGCTATAATGATACATTCACTAGTAATTTAATATTCTTCCTATTAATTTCATGGCGAATCATGAACCTCTTCTCGAGAACATTTCAGCAAAAGCATGAAGAAAATGCCTCATAAGCAATATTGGTGCTAACGTAGTAAAAAGCGTAGCCAAGCGGCAGCAACCCAGCATTTTTCTCCTAATCGAAGGCCTTAGCTTAGAGCACAAACAAGCAGGGTTGCTGCGGGCTACTCTTGCAAGTCTCTATGCGACTCTGGTGGTCTGTGCTCTAGGCCGAAGTCTCGGTTACGGGAAAGAACACAGAGCCGTTGCCGCATAGCCCCGCTCAACTACCGTAGCATTGAAACATGATAACAGATAAATTTAAACTACAACACTGCAGGACAGCAAGCAAAACTACGACACAGTAAGAAGCTACACTCAGGAAAAACTGAGTTGTTGCTACAGAGGTATCTGAACCATCAACTGTCGTTAGAAATGGCCTGAAAAGCTGAAAGTTTGCCCTGATTCATAATTTAGCTTCTGCGGCACTCGGCCGCTCCTCTGTATTCCTTCCCCTAACCAAGGTTTAGGCCTAGTGCCCACGGGGGGAGGCTGCTAGCTGCTGATAGTAAATGATCCCTTGTTGCCAAAGTCACATGCAGGTTATTTGAACTCATGCTAGATCAATCGATTTTCTATAAATAGAAAGAAAAGATAGAAGTAGTGCATGATAATACGTGAAACAAGAGAAGGTGAATGAGGGGAAGTCAACCATACACCCTTTCGACATGGTGCAATCAAACGAATCTCGTGATCACATGCAACGTTTTTCTCCGCTGCTGCAGTAAAAGCCTGCAGATAGTCAGTCCATCGATATCAGTTGTAAACGAACGCAAGCCAAACGGCAACCAATGCAATAATGGCAGAGCTGTGAGAATTGAACTTCAGCCTCCTTCAAAACTGTAACAGAAGTGAGTACGTGAAGGCTGCACTCATACTCTGCGACTTGGCGTTCTAGGAGAACCGCTATTTTGAGCGAAAAGGAAAGTATAGGCATCGATCAGCCGATCTCAGGCGCTTCAAGAGAATGCGCGCTATGAGCGAAAATTATTGAATAGGTATCTATCTCACCATTGTAACTAAAGCTCTGTAAAAAGGAAGAAAGCAGAAGGAAGAAAAGGAAGGAGGTCGTAGGCATGTGGTTGACGATATCCTAGACTTACATGAACTATGAACTATCACACAAACTTACTTCCTCTGAAAGAAAAATGTAATGTAAAATGTTATGAAGATTGACTAGTAAGAAGCGCTTCATGGGAAGCTGGTATACAAAACGTTGGTTCAGTGACACCTTCAAACTCCACTGCGTTGAAGCATAAGTTTCCGACATGTCGTTCGAACTTTTCGTAAAAACCTTTGGAAGGTTACGAAAATTGTCAATCGGCACTTACATAAGGACTTAACACTATTCTTATTCAAAACCATTCTCGCTATTGAAACTCTGTACCGTAACGGAGAACAATGAACTTAACAGAACGTAGATTCGGTCCTTACTGCTCTACGAGTGTGCCCTGAACCACAAAGCAGTTGACGCAAATTGGGAACATGAGCAATTCGTTTGTTCAGAGAATGTTCTCTACCCACAGTAGTGGTTCCCGAAGCCCAAAAATGACGACTTCCATCTTGATGAACACGACTGTACCTGAAGATCAGTGGGGCGACAAATCCATAATGTATCAGTTAGTCGATTGGAGTAGCGAAACTCGTATGATTTCAAGCGAATACAACACTACACGACGGACCAATTCGAATTTTCCTGTCCCCTGCACTCGAATTCAAACAGCCAGGCAGAACAACTCCTCCGTCTTGCGCGGCGTCACTCTCCATGCCCATTCATTCGCCACTGCCATCGTCAAGAAAACCTAGAGCTCAGTTATCTGACAAACTTGCCGGAACTTGCAGGAACTGATCCAGCCGCTGTGCACATGAAATCTTTACATTTTACCCAGACGTCTCTAACCAACAGATAAATTAACCAGAGACGAGAAATCAGTATTCTAAGCTACCCACGCGGAAACACCAGTGCTCAGTCCACGCATTCCAGGG